TCGAAAAAAAAAAAAAAAAAAAAACCCACAAATATTAGCCTGTGTGGTGGCGGGCGCCTGTAATCTTAGCTACTTGGGAGGCTGGGGCAGAAGAATCACTTGAACCTGGGAAGCGAAGGTTGCAGTGAGCAGAGACTATGCCACTGCACTCCAGCCTGGACAACAGAGAGAGATTTTGTCTCAAAAAAGAAATAAAGAAAACAGTTTATATAAAGTAATAAATTTTTAAAAAAGGACTTCAGTTGGCCAGACGTGGTGGCTCACGCCTGTAATCCCAGCACTTTGGGAGGCCGAGGCAGGTAGATCACGAGGTCAGGAGATGGAGACCATCCTGGCCAACACGGTGAAACCCCCTCTTTACTAAAAATACAAAAAAATTAGCCGGGCGTGGCGGCGGGTGCCTGTAGTCCCAGCTACTCAGGAGGCTGAGGCAGGAGAATGGTGTGAACCCGGGAGGCAGAGCTTGCAGTGAGCTGAGATCCGGCCACTGCACTCCAGCCTGGGTGACAGAGTGAGACTCTGTCTCAAAAAAAAAAAAAAGAAAAAAAAAAAAGGGATAGGACACAACCGTTTCTGTCTGAAGCCAGGGAGTCCAATAATTGAGAACATTGTGACTGCTCTTATAACCACATTCCCTGCTGTTTCTAGGGCTAAATTACTACTTTAGAAACTGTGGGCCGGGCGCGGTGCCTCACACCTGTAATCCCAGCACTTCGGAAGGTTGAGGAGGACAGATCACCTGAGATTGGGAGTTCGAGACCAGCCTGACCAACATGGATAAACCCCATCTCTACTAAAAATACAAAAAATTAGCTGGGCGTGGTGACATATGCCTATAATCCCAGCTACTCGGGAACTCGGGAAGTTGAGGCAGGAGAATCACTTGAACTCAGGAGGTGGAGCTTGCAGTGAGCCGAGATGGCGCCACTGCACTCCAGCCTGGGCGACAGAGTGAGACTCCGTCTCAAACAAAACAAAACAAAACAAAATTGTGGCTCCCTGGCTACTGGAATAGGGGTATTTAACAGATGCCAGATAAATCAGGGACACCCTAATCCCAGAGCCACTCCACAGCATAGCTAGACAGACGTGAGTGTTTCCACCCGTGACGAGCATTGGGCGGGAGCGTGTGCCTCCCTACCCCGAGGCTGTACCAAGCTGCTGCACATCCAGCCCCGGAAGTTCCCTTCAGCAGGCCTGTGGTAATCAAAGCCTGTGACTTGACAAGATTCCTGGCAGCAGTAAAGGCATGAGTAAACAGGTAACAAAGATGAAACCATTAGCCAGGCAAGGTATGAAAGGAGTCACAGTACCATGAAAACCCCAAACCTGGCACCAGGACCGATAATTGCTCCCCAAGGCAACCCACAAGCCTACGTGTTAGTCACTCTACAGATATTTGTTGAGTGACTACTGTATGCCATTTGCAGTTCTAAGCAGCAAGGACACAGCTGGGGAACAAAGCAAGGCCTTGCCCTCCACAGAATTGAAATCCTAGTGGTTCCAGCACTGATAGGAATAGACTTCTTTGTTTTCTTTTTTTTTAAGAGACAGAGTCTCACTCTGTTGCCCAGGCTGGAGTGCACTGGTGTTATACTGACTCACTGCAACCTCCGCCTCCAAGGTTCACGCCATTCTCCTGCCTCAGCCTCTTGAGTAGCTGGGACTACAGGCACATGCCTCCACACCCAGCTAATTTTTGTATTTTTAGCAGAGACGGGGTTTCACCATGTTGGCCAGGCTGGTCTTGAACTCCTGACCTCGTGATCCGCCCGCCTCGGCCTCCCAAAGTGCTGGGATTACAGGCGTGCGCCACCGCGCCTGGCTGGGAATAGACTTGTAAAGTGACACAGCCCACCCCGCCACAGGGAAGCCCTTGGGTTCTCTCAACATAGGCCTAAAGGATCCCCGGCAAGGGGCGTTCTTGCAGCAAACGGCACCCGGGGCAGCCACATTGCCTGGCCAGGGCACTTCCTATGCTGCCAAAGAATTTGGTCAACAAAGGGACAGTTGTTCAACTATTGAGTCATTTAAGGTTTGCTGAATGCTTCAGACTGGCAGCCAATGGCCCACATTTCCTCACCTTCCTTTTTTTTTTTGAGACGGAGTCTTGCTCTGTCACCTAGGCTGGAGTGAATGGCATGATCTTGGTTCACTGCAACCTCTGCCTCCTGGATTCAAGCCATTCTCCTGCCTCATCTTCCCCAGTAGCTGGGATTACAGGCGCACACCACTATGCCCAGCTAATTTTGTATTTTTAGTAGAGATGGGGTTTCACCATGTTGGCCAGGCTGGTCTCGAACTCCTGACTTCGTGATCTGCCCGCTTCGGCCTCCCAAAGTGCTGAGATTACAGGTGTGAGCCACCACGCCAGGCCTCCTCTATCGTCTTTTCTGAAGGAATTTAGAGTGTATGAATCATAATCTAAGTGCTGGGATACAGAACAATGAGAAGACACACCTGAAACTCTGGAATCAAAGTGGGAAAGGACTAGAAAATCAGCCACCTGGACGACAGAGGCTCCCTGTCACTGCTCGGGATGCAGCATCTGGCCATGACATTGTGTCACTGTGCATTGGGAAGACAAGTGCATTCACAATTCACATTCGATAACTGAATCATATTAAGAAGGAATTTGATATGTCTCTACTAAAAATACAACAATTAGCTGGGCGTGGTGACGCATGTCTGTAATCCCAGGTACTCAGGAGGCCGAGGCAGGAGAATCGCTCGAACCTGGGAGGTGGAGCTTGCAGTGAGTTGAGATCGCGCCACTGCACTCCACCCTGGGTGACAGAGCGAGACTCCATCTCGAAAAATACATATATAAATAAATAATAATAATAATAATAAGGGAGCATTGGCCAGGCACGGTGGCTCACGCCTGTGATACCAGCACTCTGGGAGGCCTTAGTGGGTGGATCATGAGGTCAGGAGTTCGAGACCAGCCTGGCCAACATAGTGAAATTCCGTTTCTACTAAAAACACAAAAATCAGTCAGGCGTGGTGGCATGTGCCTGTAGTCCCAACTACTCGGGAGGCTGAGGCAGGAGAATCGCTTGAATCCGGGAGGTGGAGCATGCAGCGAGCTGAGATCTGGCCACTGCACTCCAGACTGGGTGATAGAGCGAGACTCCGTCTCAAAAAAAAAAAAAAAAAAAGCATAAGGAAGCATTTAGAAGCAGAAGGTGGGGTGTGCAGAGCCTAGATGTGGACTTGGTATGAGCAGAGGGTTCAGGGAACAGAACTGTGGGAAGGAGGCAGCAAAGGCAGGTTAGGCCACATGCGGGGAGCCTGGGTGGCTAGAGACAGTATGTGCCCTCCTAAAAGGGCATTTTTTTTGTTTTCTTTTCGATTGGCATTTTCACAACATGAAAAGTGAATGTTTAAACGTGATCCTGTAGGCAGTAACAAAACACTGAATACTTCTTTTTTTCAGGGGGACAAGATCTGGCTCTGTCGCCCAGGCTGGAGTGCAGTGGCGCAATCTCAGCTCACTGCAACTTCTACTTCCCAGGCTCAAGCGATCCTCCCACCTCAGCCTCCCAAGTAGTTGGGACCACAGGTGTATGCCACCATGCCAGGCTAATTTTTTAAAAACGTCTTTGTAGAGATGGGGTTTTGCTATGTTGCCCAGGCTGGTCTTGAACTCCTGTGCTCAGCTGATCCACACGCCTCCACCTTCTGAAGTGTTGGGATTACAGGCGTGAGCCGCTGCCCGGCCACACTGAATGCTTTTAAAGGGGGAAAACATCGCACTGAATGTGGTATGAGGACAATTATTCTGGAAGAATGGGTTGAGGGCGGTCAGTGAGAGGCCAATGAGGAGACACTTCACAGTAAAACAATGAAGTGGAGAGGGAGGGATTAGAGAAAAAGCCTAGAGAACAAGGGTTACTGGGAGAGAACTTCGTAGAGAACAAAAAGGCCTGGCCTTGGTGACTGTCCAGGGCTGAAGGGCAGGGAAGAACCATGGCGCTGTCTCTGCTCTGCGGAATGAAGGATGCGAGTTAGGAACCGAAGCTGCCTGCAGGGAAGGAGAGAGATGGGGTCACGGGGGCTTCAGGAACTCTCTCCTCAGCACTGTAAGAACCCCTCAACGGTAGACACCGTGCTGCTGTGGCTGGCCCCGGGCTAGTCCTCCAGCGCCCAGGTGCTGCACGTCCAGGAGTATTTCTAGATACCGAGTCCTACCTCCTCACCACTCCAGACTCTAGTTTTCAAGCGTGGAGGTGGCTAAGGATGGTTTTGGCGTGAAGTCAGAAGCAGACAGTTTTGGGAGGAAGTGGGGAGGAAGTCAGAGAGGAGGCGCGTCACCGTCAACTGATCTCACCACCCAGCAGCACTCAGAGGCTGCTCCAGCCACCCCGCCTGAACCCCACCACCAGAACTCACCTGTGGCCCACCCTGTTTTGCTAGAAGATAATGAGCTAACGGGAATGATCCATTACTTTCTGTTACTAATGAACATCTGTTCCCTTTCTTAAAGTGCTTAAAGTAATAGAAAAAAAAAAAAAATTAGAAAATCCAGAAGGTACAGAAAATTGTAAAAGGTCTTGCTGTGTTGCCCAGGCTGGAGTGCAGGGGCGTGATCTTGGCTCACTGCAGCCTCAACTTCCCTGGCTCAAGGGATCCTCCCGCCTCAGCCTCCTGAGTTGTTGAGACTACAGGTGTGCACCATCATGCCCGGCTAATTTTTAAAAAGTTATTTGTAGGCCAGGCTCGGTAATCACTCTTGTAATCCCAGCACTTTGGGAGGCTGAGGCGGGCGGATCACAAGGTCAGGAGATCAAGACCATCCTGGCTAACACGGTGAAACCCCGTCTCTACTAAAAATACAAAAAATTAGCCAGGCATGGTGGAGGGTGCCTGGAGTCCCAGCTACCCAGGAGGCTGAGGCAGGAGAATGGCGTGAACCCGGGAGGCGGAGTCTGCAGTGAGCCGAGATCGCGCCACTGCACTCCATTCTGGGTGACAGACAGAGACTCTGTCTCAAAGAAAAAAAAAAAATTATTTGTAGAGATGGGGTCTCGCCATGTTGCTATGGCTGGTCGTGAATGCCTGGGCTCAAGCAATAATCCCACTTCAGCCACTCAAAGTGCTGGGATTACAGGCATGCTCCATCACGCCTGGCTAATTTTTGCATTTTTAGTAGAGATGGGGTTTTACCCTGTTGTCCAGGATGGTCTGGAACTCGTCAGCCTCAAGTGATCTGCCCACCTCGGCCTCCCAAAGTGCTGGAATTACAGGCCTGAACCACTACGCCCGGCCGGAAAAGTGATTCTTAATACACTGTAACTGAGGATCATACTGTGAACAAGACACACTATTTAGAGAAACGATACTAGCTGGTGAGCTGCAGGGAGGAGCGTGCTAGCGGTTTCCAAGCTCCCCAGATCACACCACTTCTCGCTCTTCCCATTTAAAAAGGTCCCATTCCCTTGGCTTGACTCCTCTGGCTTCCCCTTCTGTGCAGCCAGTGTTAGATCACCACCGATTGTCCCCCGGGATGCCTGAGAGCTCCTAACTCAGCTCCTTGCCTTCAGCCTTATTGCCCTCAAATCCACCTTCCGGACTGCCAAGTGGGTGAAGGGGCCCAGGGGCAGTTTTGGGCCTGCTGCCTTCCCGAGGCTCTCGGGTCAGGCTCCCACTCCAGTACAGCCTGCCCTGGTTTTCCTCTCCCTCATCCCTGCTTTCAACTCTTGCTTTCAGAACACGTCAGTCTTGCATCTAAGTCTTGCACATACTGTCCCCTTCACCCAGGACACTCTTTCTGCATCCAAACCCAGTGATTTACAAATGTTCTTTGCGCTCCAGCTCAGACGTCACCTCCTCCCACACGCCTTTCCGGAGTCCCCCCATTCTTGGCTAGGAGCCCGCTGCTGTTATCCCATCCAATATTCAGTTGCAGCACATACTGCAATACATTGACACTGACTTGCTTCCCCATGAAAATTACCGGTTATTTGTGAGTTAAGACGGTCTTGAGCCCGGGCACGCTGGCTCACGCCTGTAATCCTAGCACTTTGGGAGGCCAAGAAGGGCAGATCACCTGAGGCCAGGAGTTCGAGACCAGCCTGGCCAACATGCTGAAACCCCATCTCTACTTAAAAAAAAAAAAAAAAATTAGCGCGGGTGCCTGTAATCCCAGCTACTCGGGAGGCTGAGGCAGGAGAATTGCTTGAACCCGGGAGGCGGAAGTTGCAGTGAGCCGAGATCATGCCACTGCACTCCAGCCTGGGCAACAGGGTAAAACTGTCTCAAGAAAAAAAAAAAAAAAAAAAGTCTCGGGGCAGTATTCTGGCCATGGTACAGAGGCATCCAGTAAGCATCCTTGAATCAAGGAGCCACAATGACTTCCCCTCTGACTTTGCCGTCAGACCTGTCACGAGACTGCCGGCTCCACTGTAGGGCTGTGCTCCTTTCTTCCTGCTGTGAGGGGCTGGGTTGGGGGCCTCAGGGTGAGGACCACGTCCCCACCTATCTCCTTTTCTTAGCAGAGCAAGGGTGAGTATTCCCAGGAATGAGCACCTCACTCTACTAGTCAGGAGCCAGCTCTTGACTTATTGCCGAGAAAATCACTTGCTTCTTGGCTTGGATGTTGCCTGGGATACCCCACAGTCAGGGGAGGCCACTTCCTCGTGCCCACCCCTTCTGACTCTGTCCAACAAATGGGATGAGTGTCCCTGTCCCACTGGCTGCTCTTCCCCTTTCCCCAAATGGTTTATTTGCTAGAATAGTCTTTACCTACCAACTCGTAGCTGGATGCAGACAGACAAGACACTTACCTGCTTTCGGCAAGAACCTCTGCCTTTTCTGGAACCCAGGATATAGTCCAGATCGCTGCTGAGCTGCAGGGAGAGGTGGCTTTCAGTGCCAGCCAGCCTGGGCTGGTTTTCCCTTCTGTGGTCGGTTTCCCTCCCTCTGCATCCCCCTCATCCCCACTGCAGGGTTCCAGACTCCCACCGCACACTGCACCTTCAAATAGGTTGGGTTTGAAGCAAAACCCAAAGAGGCTACTAGCCAGTCAAGCCACGCTGTACCTCCCCAGGTGGCAAGCCGGTTGCTGTTTACTTGGTTGCTAATATGACTCGGACAAAAGTCCAGGCTGGGAAAAGATTTTAACAAGGCAGCTTGGGGGTGAGGGGAGATTCACCGCCCACTGAGAGACCTGGAAGCCAGGGAGGAAGACAAACACTGAAAATCAATGCAATGCAAACACTTCTCCAAGACATTTGGTGCCAGAAGCAAATCCCTGCTTCTCAGTCTCATGCACTTTTCTTACTGCTGATAACCAGCTATTTCAATGATCCTGGGAGGCATCCTCCCTGCAGGAATACATTTTCTGTTCATTTTGCATGTATTTTGTTGGGGGCTATCATGTGCTCAGCTGCAGAAGGGCTGCAATGTAGTTTTGGCACATTCTCCACTCTTAAGAATGTTACAAGTGTAAGAAGAAGAGGGCCAGGTGCGGTGGCTCACGCCTGTAATCCCAGCACTTTGGGAGGCCGAGGCGGGTGGATCACGAGGTCAGGAGATCAGGTGTCAAAGAGGTCCCAGCGAGATCGCAACCGATCCTGGCTAACATGTGAAACCACCGTCTCTACTAAAAAGTACAAAAAATTATTACCCAGTGCGTGTGGCGGCGTAGCCGTGTAGTCCCAGCTATTTGGCAGCTGAGGCAAGGAGATGGTGTGAACCCGGAGGAGGGAAGCTGGCAGTGAACTGAGATTGGCCATGCACTCCAGCCTGGGAGACAAGAGCAAGGCTCCATCTCAAACAAAAGACAGCCCGCTCACAAAAACGAAGAGGTTCGAATTGCGGTTTCTGTGAAGATTCTGTAGAGGCTTGGGACGCAAGCGTGATTAAACGAGTCAGAGGCGGGTATCAGATTTGAAGCTGCCCTTAGCCACAGGAAGATCACATTATCTCCCCA